ATGATTGCTTGATATGTACACTCAGATGCTAGCAATTGCACACAAACTGTTGAGATACCTACATGTATTCTGAAGATTAATATTAAAATTAGGATTATTTCAAAAATGAATATACTTACACTTGAGCCTTTTGATCCAGGGCTACCGCTAAGTCCAGGGGGACCCTAATAAATTGAATGAAATAAACAACATTATTATAAAACACTAATTGTAAATACAGTTGTACCAATCTAAATACCAACATAAACACCAATTCATTGTACTGCATTCTCATTCCAATAAATGTAACTTATATGTATTTATATTTTTATTCTCTAGTTAGAATAACCCTTTATAAAAAAAAATAACATTTACAGTTTAAAAAAAAAATATTTTTTTATTTTAAAGGGCAGCTATGAATACTTACTCTTTGACCAGACTTTCCTGTTGCACCAGGGCTTCCTGCTTCACCTCTTGCACCTTGTTGGCCAGTAGGACCACGGGGACCAGGTTTACCACTTTCTCCTTTAGCACCAGCCATTCCAGGAAATCCAGGTTGTCCAGCTTGACCAGGTGAGCCCTAAGACAGGAGATTTAAAACATCCCATGATTCCACAGACAGACAGACAGACAGACAGACAGACAGACAGGTCAGTGACATATGTTATCATTGCAAATGTGCCTTCACTATAACACTGGGCTTCGGCTGACCAGTCGCCAGTGGTAAATAACTTTTGAGATTTCTTTTATCCACCAATGGGTAAGAGTAATTTCAAAACATGAATGATTGAGCTAAAATAGTTGAAAAGCATTTCATCAGAAACAAAAACAGAAACAGAAATGTAAACAAGACATGAATGTCACTGTCTCCATTATTTAAATATAAAAATGTTAAAATAAAACATGGAACATCTGTACACAATTGAATTAATATGTACTCTATGTAGGTACAACTCATCATACATGTAAATTGATTTCCCTCAATCTGATAACTGAAAACTTTCATTGACCCAGGTCCAAAATCTCAGAGTACACAAGTGCAACCAAACTGTATGTCTCATACCTGCTCAATAAACTGCATTCATAAATCTGAGTAAATCTTGATGTACCTTTAATAACAACTTGACTTCGTTGTTAATTCAGGTCTTTGTATATTACCAGGACCTGGGTTTGTTTCAGTATCACCACTATAATTCCCATCAAATGTAGCCCTGACACCCCTCTTTAGTTTCTACTGAGATTGATAATGGTACAACCCATCTGTCACTGATTCAGATCAAGGTCATACCCAGGTTATGACATCACTAAAAACCCTAGCATTACAATCTCAGCTAATTATTTATCTGAGCATGGTCAGTTGTTCTCTCAGTGGTGTTGGGAGTAGTAGTTTTAAATGAAAAATTTAGGATTTTCCGATCTGGAAAAAACAATCACGTGCATATTCGATAGAGACTTGTTCATCAACCTGTCAAGTTTCATAAATATCTGCTGCAGAATTTCTGAGAAAATGTTCGAGACGTCACAGACGGAAACTGGAAATAAGAATTAATAGTCCGCCTTCAACTCAGTCATCATTTTGAAATAAGTTCTCTTACAAATACAAAGCTAGACAACATGTGATCAAATATTATCAGGGCCTCAGAAATAAATCAAATAAATTATTTGCATTGTACAACAATGGTTTGATGTATAATACAAACATAGCATGACTTACAGGTGGTCCAGATTGTCCGGGTGGTCCATCAGCTCCTCTTGCACCCTGAAAAATAATATTTAGGTATAAATGAATTTTTAATAATGATGAATACATTGAAGTCAAGTTGTGAAGAGATAATAATGATGCAGATGATGATAATTATACTACTACTGGCGATGATGATAGTGATGATAGGGAAATGCTGGTGATGATGATGGTAAAAGTGATGGTGATGATAATGATGGTAAAAGTGATGGTGATGATAGTAATGGTAAAAGTGGCGGTGATGATAGTAATGGTAAAAGTGGTGGTGATAATAATGATGGTAAAAGTGGTGGTGATGATA